AACATGCTTGTGACTGAATCATACTAGTGGGAATCTTTGGCTTTGAGTTCATTAAAAACGGAAGAGAATAATTATACTGAACCTCGCAAATTCCTGGATGAAATAAAGGAAAGCACAGATTTCATCAGACTCAGAACATCAAACAAATCTGTTGTACATGTAGTGGAATTCTTTAAAGTAGCATCATAGCATCACACAGTCTAATTTAGTGGTGTTTGCTAACACAAGCGTCACTATTATTATTGCTCATTCTTGGGGATTTGAACAAACTCTTAACTTTAGGTTTTAAGCACACTATTTGTGTTAGACTTGAATGATGCCTCATTGTGTGGCTTGTTAGGGAGATACTTTTTTTTCCGCTTTGGTGAAAAACTCCTACAGACTAAAATGTTAGCAAGCTAATTAAATATATTGTTGACATTTGTGGTCCAATTGCTGGTCTGAGTATTTGAGTTGTGGTCATGTATTACTAGATTTCCTCAATAGTTACCTACAACTGTAGCACTACTCAAAGCAGGTGGAATCATATTTTAATGGTAAGAAATTGGAGTCTCAGACTGCTAAAAATTTTAAGCCAGTTTCAATGAAAACATTTTTTTTTTAAATCTACCTGTGGTGACATTTCTGCACAATTATATTACATTGTTTCTTTCACGTTTCGCAACACAGTGAGTGGCACTAAATGCACATTCAGTTTTATCTAAAACAAATGTGAATCTGTCAATGTTTTACTACGTCGATTGCTCTAGCCTAAATTTAATTGATAGCATAAAACTGTCACCAAAAGCAAACTTCAGATAAAAAAAGCATTTGCTGAAGCAACTATGCCATTTAGGCTCTTTTATCAAGTGTTGTAACTCGTACCCAAGCATTTCACATCACAAGTACACTGTTATACCAGGTGAGCTACTGAGCAATTTTACTACGTCAGAAAAGCTGTAGATACATAGCTGGTTATATTATGCAAAGGTAGAAATGTATTTTTATTTATTTATTTAACAAATCATGCACTGTGGTCAAATCATGCACTAGTGTTACAGTATTTTGCAAGGAACTGCATGAAAAGTCTTTATTAATTGATCATCTGCCCCTGTAATCAATTTATGTGAAAAATGAATAAAAGTTGTTGGTGTTTTACCACCACTAGTGTTCATTTCAGCTGTATGGGTACATTTTTCGAGTTCTGCAAAAATGTAGGTAGAGGCACATTTTTCCATTAATTGATAGCATAAAACTGTCACCAAAAGCAAACTTCAGATAAAAAAAGCATTTGCTGAAGAAACTATGCCATTTAGGCTCTTTTATCAAGTGTTGTAACTCGTACCCAAGCATTTCACATCACAAGTACACTGTTGTACCAGGTGAGCTACTGAGCAATTTTACTACGTCAGAAAAGCTGTAGATACATAGCTGGTTATATTATGCAAAAGTAGAAATGTATTTTTATTTATTTATTTAACAAATCATGCACTGTGGTCAAATCATGCACTAGTGTTACAGTATTTTGCAAGGAACTACATGAAAAGTCTTTATTAATTGATCATCTGCCCCTGTAATCAATTTATGTGAAAAATGAATAAAAGTTGTTGGTGTTTTACCACCACTAGTGTTCATTTCAGCTGTATGGGTACATTTTTCGAGTTCTGCAAAAATGTAGGTAGAGGCACATTTTTCCAATTAGCCTACAGTATGTTGCAAAATCTGCAGACAGGAGCCGACAGCACAGACTTAGCCTGACTGCAAATCAGGGCTAAAATCAGCATTAGCAACTGCACAGCAACACCCTGAGCAACCACACGCAACACTATTCACATTTAAAATTTAGTCTACCAGCAATCTTCTTATATTCTGTAATCCTCAGCTTCTCAGGAGGCTTAAACATAATCAAATCATATGCATCGTCACTGCTGTAACTGTGCATCAGATCTAGTGGTGCTATAAAGGCAGTATTTCAGGTGTCAGTGCTGCTTTTGTGTGAATATTGTGTGAATTGCCATGTCAAAGGGTAAATCCAGCAGTACCCAGCAGCACGCTTAATCCAGCAAAGCCTTTATGTTACGCTGCCAGATGTTAGCTGCTTTCAACTGGCTCTTAGTTAAAACCCCCTTCAAACGTCTAGCAGTAGAAACATGGCTTAGAGGAACACCTCTGAATACTTCCAATTATTGCCAGCTACAGCATCAAAGAGTAAAGCAAACACCTGTGTGGAAAGGGTCTGTGGTATTTCTCCTTTAACTGTCAGAGTGCTGTTTAATCCCGCAAAGCCTTTATGTTACGCTGCTAGATGTTTGCTGCTCTCAACCGGCTCTTAGTTAAGACCCCCTTCAAATGTCTAGTGGTAGAAACACAGCTTAGAGGAACAACCCTGAATACTTCCAATCATTGCCAGCTACAGCATCAAAGTGTAAAGCAAACACCTGTGTGCAAAGGGTCTGTGTCAGAGTGCTGTTTGAGAATGCCAGGCACTAACTGAAGCATTCAATATTCTGTTGGGATCTCTCATTCTGAGAATTCACAGGACTAGATGACAATGGGTGGGCTATCTCAAAACGTTTTTCAGAGAAACACTATGACCAAGCATGGCATATTGAATCACTTCAGTATATCTTACCACCTGTATTGGTTCAGAAAGCAGAAATGCCTTCTCAGGAAACAGCATGTCTGAATACGATGATACGCATTGCTGCATTATTACGTTGCTTTAGGTATGTATTGCTGCAGTTCAGAATTCAAATATCCGGGGAGCGTTGCTAAAAGGCTATCGCTGGAAATACCCCCTACATCAAACCCAACCCTAAACCTACCCAATAAGTGTTAACGAATGCAAAAGTGATATAAAAACGCATTTGCTGATGCAACGGTGTTATTTTAACTTCTTTACATGTGGGTTTGTGCTGTTTTGTCAAACCGTAGTTTTATGGGATTCATACCGGAGTGCTTCACCTCACAAGTGCAACACCGTATCGCATTGAGCTACAGCGTTAGAAAACCCATACATACACTGAACAAAATTATATACGCAACGCTTTTGTTTTTGCCCCCATTTTTCATGAGCTGAACTCAAAGATCTAAGACTTTTTCTATGTACACAAAAGGCCTATTTCTCTCAAATATTGTTCACAAATCTGTCTAAATCTGTGTTAGTGAGCACTTCT